TGTACTGATCTGGTACGATAGATATATAGATATCTATAAATAGATGGAGACAGGGGGGGATGGCTTTTGCTGGCTTATTAGAAGGGGAACATGTGTGGCCGAATTTGATTTTGCAGCAGCACCTTTCAAATTTTCCACATTTTGCCATACCCCTTTAATCTTTTTTTTTTACTAGGATTTTAAGTAATAGTCCAACACAAAGTACAGTGATACAGTTCCCTCTACATTATTTTTATTAAAAATTTCCTGTCACATGGACATACAAAAACATTTAAAAAAGGATAAAAGAACTGCAATTCCCCTTCACCCCAAAGACGCCCTAGCACAAAATAAGAGAAAAAAACATGTTTACATATCACTGCGTTTGACAAGATGTAGGATCTTTAAATAAAGAGACAAATAGTTAAAAAATATATTTTGTTTTTCCCAGTAAAAACAATCCTTTGTATTCAGCTCCCCTGACCCTAGATTTTGTAGGTGCGCCACTGCAAGTCTTTTGGAACATGCCTCCCACAGATTTTGGCAACAAAATTTTAATTTTCTTCTGACAATCTCAGTCACCTGGGGCGCAAGAACTTCCACTCCAGTCACATGTCATTTCAATTCAATTTAAAAGTATTTTATCCCAAAGGGAAATTAAATGCGACTCATCTCATCACAGTTTCTTCAAAGTGGTTGTTGACAGTGATGCTGGGGGAGCAATCTTCAGTGGCTGTCAGTGCTGCAACGAATCCAGAGAGGCCTCTGACTGGAGAAACAGTTTCTGTATGACGTGTAAACAGCTCAATATATCAGCATCAATTGTAAGCACTGCTAATCCAAGTCATTTGATTTTGCTACTCGTCATTAAATGCCTGTCTATCCGTGCAAAAGTTTAAACCTCAACTCATCTTGGATTTGGGGCCGTAGTTCCAATATTATGCGACTTCTGAAGGTAAACGAGTGGGCTGGACGTCAGAGACACGCGTCAAATTTGTGGCTGTGACAAAACGAGACCTGAAAAGATTTCGGAGGGCACCTTAAAAACAGAGCGAGCGGTAACAAACGCACATGAAGTCGGTTTATATCAAAGACTTTTATTTGACAATTGTTTCGATCCGTTTTTATAAAATTAATTAACAAAAACCATGATTTTCTTTAACCATCTTTCCATCAGTCTAAAAAAAAACAAAGAAAAAAAAGAAAAAGCAAAGGGTGCAGCCTCTGAAGAGAGAGAGAGAGGGAAGCAGGCGAATATCGAGTCCAGAGATGAATCCTGTCAGATGTCTGTCCATAAATTACTGCGGCTGTGATGAACATGAGGAAGAGGAGGAGGGTTGGAACCCCGCCAGCCTGACGCAAATCAGGAAGTGGAGACGGGTGGAACAAGAATCCCAGGAAAGTATAACAAACAAACAAAAAAAAACAAACAACTGAAAATAGTATTAATAAACAGCTAACGGTAAATCAGAGGTTTTAGTGTTAGAATGATTTGGGGATGCCATTATGGTTTGATAAAAAAAACAAAAAAAACAAAACAAAACATTGAAGAACTGCCATTAAACAGGGTCATAATTTTTGTGCAAGGCTGATGAAAAGAAAAATCTTAAGTGTATTTCCTCTGAAGGCACATCAATACATAACTTCCCCCCACTGACAAACAAAAAAACACGACAAAAAAAAAAAACAGAAAATGTCATCCTTTATATATTGCACCAAGTTCACGTCTAAAACAGAACTCTGTTTCAGCGCGATGTTCGTTCAGCTGGGATTGTTTATCAGCTTTCACGACGATGACACATTCTCAGAAGTGAAGAGCAACACCAAGCACCCTCTCCATCTGTGGAGCTCCGGCGCTAAAAAAAAACCAAAAAACCCCGGAAAAACTCTTTCCCTTCGTTTTCACTCGCATTCCAGTCAGAAAGTCCGTGATTAAGGAGGGAACGTGTGGCATTCCCCACTGCAGAGGAGAAAATATAAACAAATGCTCCATTGGCACATAAAGGGAGGAGAATGAGCTCAGCAAAACCATCTTTTCTTTCATCTTTAGAAAGCCATTACAGGGTGAGTTGGAGGAAGGAGTTACTGGCTTCACAAGATGTTCAGATAACATGATATGACATGTCGGAGCAAAAAAACAAACAAACACTGAATTAGATTGTTAATTGAGCCAAATATTTCAAAGTGAGATAGCATAATGAACCGTGAGTGTAAAAACCCAATTTGATGGCCGATCCGAAACAGAGGAGGGTCGATTTAGGTCCGATGTGAATGCAGCTGGTCGATCGTGAATCATTCTTCATCGACTTCATCAGAGCTACCGGGAGATTTCATATTTATTCACAAAAATATGGTGGATATGCTTCTCTGTGTCAGGTGCTTGCTGCTGCCTTATCTGCCATTTGGCCAAATGAAATTGGGCTAACAAATAAATATCCCTCATTCACCAAATCCAAAAAAAAAAAAAAAGTTCTGTAGATTTCACAGTGGTTTTTGTTTTAATAGACCAGTTTATGGCATGTTGGCAGGCTGAGCCTCCCTTCACCAAGGGAACACACACCAAGCTCTAACATCCCTCAGGCTAGCATGTATTCAAGCAAATGGTCCAGGTTTTTATCCGAGTCATTAGGAATGGAAAATAATAATCGGCATTTCTAGGGGCGTCTCTATTCACATGTGGCCTGCCTAGTTGTTCATGTCGGCTCTGGGCGAGGGAGATTGTTCAGAATGGCACGTACAGACATTTGTTTGTTTGTTCGACTGTAAATGCAAAATATATTCTCATCAAACCGTTTTGATGATCTGCAAAATGCAACACATTATCAGTAATATGGAAAATAACAGATCATGATCAAAGAAAAAAGAAAGTAGGGTTATCGAGGTGCAAAATCTGCACCTGGTCTTCTATCTGTCAGATTCCCAGATCCACTAAATCTTTTGATAAATGCTGAGGCACTGTCAGATCAACAATCACCAGCTGGTCTGGGGCTCTGAGGAGGATTTCAAACTTTTCTTTGTCTATCCTTGTTTAAGACAACAGAGGAAAAAATGAAAAGAAACAGGAGAGAGAGAAAGAAAGAGAGAGACAGAGAGAGAGTGTCACCGTATAAAAAAATAGTTGAATACGATCCGAAATAGTGTTATCATCTTCGTAGTTAATATCCCGTCAGCAAAAAACGTTCACAAACGTGCATAGTTTACAGACACACACAGTGTCACTTGCACTGGGTTTGTCGATGTTGGGGACTTTTATGCAGCAAGCTGTAATTTTCTGACTCGGTGACCAATGGTGAGCAGATTTACCTGTTCAGGTAGTTAGTGATGTTATGAGTTCAGCCGCCTGAACGACACACACAAGACAGCAGCAGTAGTTGAAAGGAGAGACAGAGAAGGACAACAAAGAAGACAGGGGGAAAAAAATGTGGCGTCCTTCACGTTGGTTCCAGTTTCTTCACTTCCCGTTTCCCTGGAACCAGCTCTAAACGATCGTCTGCTCTTTTCTTCAAGTCAGCCGCCCCCACCCCCACCCCATCGCTCCTCATCTGTTGTGTCCGCAGAGCACAGGGAGCTGGGGGAGGGGGGGGCTCGGCGGGGGTTATAGCCTCTCGATTTCTCTGTATTTCTTCCTCAGTATCGACACCTGGTCTTTGAAGAGGACCGGGTCCAGCCTCATCTGAGAGTGGACCAGAGGCATGGTGCCAAACCAGTTGGCAAACTTGTTCATGCAGGTCTGACGCTGGGCGAAATGGTCTGGGTCAGCCCAACGGGACGCTCTGGAGCTCTGGGATGAGGAAAAAGCAGTGGCAGGAAACAAATGAGTTCCGACAGGAAGAGGAAGGAAACGACTAGATGGATTATGTGTTTTGTGCTCCGGTGACCTTTCACAGCCTTTTTTCTTTTTTTTTTCTGAAACTAGGCACATCAGAAGAAAACAACTTCAATTTACAAATTACCACACTGTCCTTTTTGTCCTGAATGCACCATGTGGCATTTTGTATAGTAATGTGTCAATTAGCTATAGGCTGCTACACTTTGCCCTCAGTAAAATTAAAGTATTGTCAAGGTAAGTTTTCAAACTTTTCCAGCATTACACTTTGGAAATAAAAACAATACAAATTAACTAAAAAAAAAAACGCTTTCAATTCACTATTATATGATTAATTACTGTTATTAATAAATGTCTTTTACATTATTTTAGCTTACATTCCTATGTCTTATGGCAGGGAAAAGGTAAACTAAATTCTAACTAACCTGAAACAAAAAAAATTTAGTTTGATTTAACTTCAGACAGTGAGAAACCCCCTCCCCCATCATTTATGTGTCTCTTCATAAAGTGTATGAAAATATCTGTATGTGTATGTGAATAACATTCCCCAAATTGAGGTGTTCAAACATCCAACTGAAATTGAAGCATTTTCAAGGGTTTCAAGCACCAGTACAAACCCTGTATTGGTAATCCCTGAATGGCCACGGTCAGATTCAAATAAATCGGCTTAATCTCACCATCCAAACAAATACAAATCACCAGTGAATGTGAAATGTTGCTCCTCACCTGTCCCATCATGGTTTCCTTGTATTGTTTCTTCTGCGTGACCTTAATGGGGGGTAGCTTAGTAACGGATGACACGAGGAAATTCATAAGAATGTCTTCGCAGTTCGACATCTGGTCAACCATTGTCCTCAGGCTGGCTGGAAGGTAGGTGGTGTACAAGTAGTGATAATATCTGTGGGAGGAGTGCGACATGTAGAACAATGGAGCGCTCAGAAGACAAGGCGGCCCAAAACCGCGTTGGTGGAAAATGAAAAAAACAAAAGCGTGTTACTTGTGGTAGATGGCGGCCCCGGTCAGCACCATGGAGTAGTCGTTGGTCCACTTGGAGGTGTAGCCCCAGCGTTCCTTGCTGCTGTCCCAGAAGTGGCTGCGGGCCGGGTAGCCGACGATGCGGTCGGGGAAACTCTGCCACACCGTGAAGGCAAAGTCCACCTGCGGCCAGATTGCAGATTTATTCATTTATTTATTTATTTTTTAAAGTAGTTAAAGTACTCGTACCAAAAAATGCTAAAAATGGAGTGAATGAGAAAGCTTTCTTCATATAACAGGAGGCTAACCTCTGTGGTGGACAGCACAGTGTCTTCATCCAGACTGAGGACAGCGTCTGTGGGGATGGTGTCGTAGGGAAGGAAGCGACTGCTTATCACCTGGTAGGAGTTGGAAAACAAATGCAGAGAGAGACGTGTGATGGTTGCTGACAGTCAGTACAGTTGCGTCATTTTATTGCAGCTGCAGACAAATGTGTTGGCATCCCTAACAGAGATGTGTGAGTAACCTTCAAAATAAATTTGAATTTTAACACAGTAGCAAAAGTTTGTTTAGAGGGAAAAAACTAAATGTTTTTTTTAAATCACTTGTATAAGTGCTGCTAACCCCGTTTTTAATACTTGTTACAATCCCATTTTGCCAATATAACATTTATTCTTCACTTCTCTTTCATAAGGTTGTAGCGTCTATGCCAGTGGTTCTTAACCTTTTTTGAGGTACAGAACCCACCAGTTTCATATGCACATTCACTGAACCCTTCTGTAGTGATAAATAAAATATGATTTTTTTTACACCCCCCCAAATTCAAGACATAGGGGTGCCCCAACTAGAGTCTAGCTGGGTCACCCCATGATCACTAAGTCTTCTTAAAAGGTAGAGTCTGAGAACAGTTCTTCAAAATATAGTCAGTGTTTTCAGCAAAGCTGAGCTGACTGTCCAGGAACGACCCAAGGTATTTAAAATTTTCCAGTTTCAACAGGTTGGCCATCGAGACAAACTGGAACCACTTTAAGGTCTTGTTTAGATCATTTAATTAGCTCTACATGCTTAAGAGAATGAAAAAAATTAATAATAAATAAAGACTTTGAGGTATTCTGATTAAGTGATGTAATTATATTAGTTGTGTTACCACCCCCACGCCACTAGAGGCAGTAGCAGGCCCGAAAAGATGCGACTAAGGAGCAGATTTAGAAGTACACCGAAAGCTACAGAATTTGGTAAAAACTGAGTTTTGCTGAAGTAATTAAAGACACAAGTTCAAATCCATGCTGAGAGTGGAGCTCCTTCAATCACTGATTGGCTCAGCAATGTAACGTGATCCTCTGCAGCAAGTGATGGCAAAGCGGGGCGTCATCACAACTCGACACAAGTGTGTCTTTACCTCCGCGGCAGAGGCTCCGCCGAACCCCTGAGACCGACTCATTGGTGTGTGTGTGTCTGTGTGTGTGTGTGTAGTACCTCCCTTTCAATAAACAGCAGGTTCTTTGTGGTGGATTGTATTACAGCTTTTCAATGACAAACTCCAAACATGAATGTATCAGCTGAGAATAAAACTGGCATTATGGCAGCTTGCTGAGAGTTGGTCTGAACTGAACTGAGTTCACTGTGTTGAGCTGTCAGACTCAACAACGAAGGCTTTCTGCACGTGGTGATTTGTTCATATACAACCAGACAACCTGCTGTGCAGCAGAGAGGGAAGCCACAAATATCTCACTGTGCTTTCCAATACACATCTGAAAGGAATAACGCGCGAAAAGCTATATGAACGTTTAGTACTGACTGATATTTCAGCGAGACCTCGAGAAATTGAGTCCAAATATTATTTCCTGACATTAGCAGCTTAATGTCGGGGAAACTCTTTATGGCCGTCAGATTTTTCTAAAATGCTCTGACCCGCCTGTGAAGCAGCTTTTATTAATGCTCCCTTCAGTCCAATTTAAAATGTCATAAAAATTAATTTAACATCATTTATTCAACAGGCTGTAAAATTGGAACTTTATGGGCTTTCCAGAACGCTCATTACAACTGCTTTATATGGCGGGAAACAACCAAAGAATTAAAGGATATTTACACAATCATTTTTTTTTCTTTTAACAAATCATATCATTTGACCTGAAGGAATAACAGGATATTCAGAAAGCAAATCTTTCTGAATATTCTTTGTGGATTAACTCCTGTGCCTGACAGCAGTTTTCCAACATTTCAAACCGTGTGTAAACATCCCAGGTCAAAATGTTGTGACTTCTAGGGCAAAATGCAGCGATGTGCTCAGTGGCGGAGGATTATGGCTCAGAGGTTTACCTTGCTTTCTCCTTCTATGACAATAAACGGGACCGAGGTGGCGGGCCAGCGGTGTTTGGCAGGAAGAGGCTTGTCGCAGTTCCAAAGAACGATCACCTGCACGGAGAAAACAGGCGACATGAATCACCCTCATTTGCATGTTTCTGAACGTAGAATTTGTTTTGATTCGTCTTTCAACACCAATTTAGAGCACGGCTTTTATGCAAATCTACATTTCTGTTTTAAGAACTAGCCCTCCACACACAAAAAGACAAAAGAAAACTGTTACTGCTGCAGCGCACAGAAGTATATTACTCGGTATTATTATCTTAAACAACCTCGTAGCGCAACAACATACACTGCTATTGTATGTGAGGCACAACAGCAGCAGCTTAGTTACATGTGTTGTGTAGTTTTCCCTGTAGTGTGAACAGAAATATTAAAAGGACATACGGGGGAAATAAAAAAGACTGACAGGTTGGATCTGCTGCAGCAGGAGCTTCTCCAAATGATCATAACCTCTTTCTGTCATTCCTCAAATGTGAAGAAGCAGCTCATGTAACAAGCAGTTTAAGGTCAACAACTGATCAGATAGACCTTCTGTATTCATTTTGATGGAGTAACACATGAGGAACACGTGGGAATCAATGCGTCGGTCACCTGAGCACAGTACTGGGATTTGGCAACGGCAACAAGCAGCTTCATCACTGGCTGGGACTGGGAGACCAGTGGGGTGACCACATGAATGATTGCTGTAAACTTCGGGTACGGCTTGATACCTGCAGGGGGAAAACATAATACTGTCATTACGTGTTCTGCTTTGCAAACAGTACAGAGTAAGAATTGTAAATGCAATGGACGACTATGGACCTGCACAGGATATTGTGGACGTTTAAACAGTCAAAAGGCAAAAAGTAGTAAGTCTGGATTATATCAATTAAGTGAAAACTATCAAAATCCCCCATTTTGTTTTAGAGTGATAGACTTGAAATACGGTTCTGTTTATTGATTGTTTTGGGAGGAACTACAGCTTCAACCATCAGCGCGTAATCGGTTCAAACTAATATTTCTTAGAAAAAAAAAAAGAAGAAAAAACTCCTTCAAGGTCTATGGAAGTCGTTGGGAAGATAACATAATGTTTCCGGCTGATGATGCTGGTACCAAAACATAAACAGAAAATCAAGCTCAAAGAGAAACATGTAATTATTGTAGTATGAAAAAAAGCACGAGTTGTAAAATTATCCTGAGAAAACTAAATCTGCAGCAGTTCTGTTTTTGAATAAAATAAGTATAATTTATTATCCTGTGTAAAAAAAAAAAAACGTCACAGTAGGGCAAAAAACTAAGCAGATCTGTAACACGATGGTAAGTTTTTCTATGAGACATCTTGATTTATTAATTCTCTTTTTTTTTTGTTGTCTGTTCAGAGGTCGAGTCACACAGATAAAAATCGGTCAAAAATTGAAGATTATTATAAGCAGAGCTAGTATTAAGTGATCTGAGCTCACAATACAAGGCGTAGCAATAACCTACTGACCCAGCTTAGCGTAGAAGAAGGGGAAATCCCCCAGGTGAGTGGAGTAGCGAGGCAGAGTGAAGAGCCCACCAGGAAGGCTGTTCCACATCAGGCTACTTCTGGAGTTGTGCTCCAGAACGCGGTCCTGGATAATCTGACATTACAGTGGAGAGGAAGACGGATCATTTAAAAAAAATAAAAAATAAGAACATAATTTCAATAACTACTACTGATCTGCTTCTAATGACATTTTTTGGAAACAAACTCCACTAACTGCAGCCGACTATTTTTTTTTTCTTAAACGGCATATCTTGAATGTAATAAATTTTGATAAACATTCAACGGTAATCTACAAAAAAAAAACACAAACAACAAATGCTTAAACTTTAAAAAAGCTCTGGTTTGTTGCTTATGATGCAATAAAATAACGCCCTTCAGCATCTTATCTTTGAAAACACAAAAGCTTTGAAGTTTACTCCGCTTTTTCTGGCTCAGTTCTTAAAAGTAACCATTAGGAATTAATTTTGTTTTTCAGACTAAAATATTTATTTATATATATATGTATATCATAAGGGTTTTTTCTCGCAGCACTAATCGTTCCCTCTTGATAAAAACCACTTTGAAAACCAAGGTACAAGATATTTTTTGCAAAATGTCAAGGACTGCCAGAATTTATAATGAAGCAACAGAAAAAAGGCTAAAAATTAATCCAGATTAATTGATTGCTGAAATAATTGTCAACTAATTTAGTGCAGACTCAAACAAAAATGCCATTTGGTGAAAAAAAAAAAATGCAACAATTGTATTGCAAGTTGGGAAATAAAAAGCTTACTTTTTTATTTAAAAAAGGGATTGAATCATTTATTTATTTGCATCTTTTAATGTATTTCTAATTTTGCACAAAAGGGCTTAAGTGGCTAAATGAAAACTTTTAAATGTGAATTTTTTCATCCGACTGTCAGAATAATTAACAGATTAATCCGTTATTAAAATAATTGTTAGTTGCAGCCCTAGTCTGTAGTGAAATATTTGGAATCACATAATGACAGGCTTATAAAAATTGCACATCTGAAGCCAAAACATGGCTTCCGGAAAAGAGTTAAGATACGGAGAGTGTAAACAGATTGTAGATAAGCTGCTTGGTTCTGCAACTTCATGCTGCTGTGCTGTTAGAGGAAAAATCCACCTCTGTGCATCAGTGCCTTTTGCTTTTCTCAAAAGATGGAAGCTAATGGTGTGACCTACTGCTGGCTCGGTCTCACATGCAACACAAAATGGAGATAACTTCGAAAAGCTGATCTATTCCAGCAGTCACTCAGGTAATTTACCGACCACTTCAAAGTTCAAGGTCTGCTACTGACATATGAAGGTATAACGGCGATGGTGCTTGTGAGCTTAGTGACGATGAGCTATGCTGACACAAAAAGCCTGCCGCACTCATAAGGAACGTTAGACATTCCCTCGGCTGCTGTCTCGCACCCTTATCAATTTCTATACTTCTCGGCTCTCGTCTTCAGCCGCTTGTAATTCTAACCCGGCAGCGGTTTGATCGGCTGGCACTCACCAGGAGGAAGGCAGATAAATGGAGCTTGACAGAAACAAACTACTGATGTGATTGATAGCCAAGACAGAACAGGATGCTGCATCAAAAATATTGACAGCCCTCTTCTTACAACAGACTTCTGTATTACTCAATCTAGAAGCTACACAGTTCCCAGCTGCATGTCACTGCAAATCTGGTAGTATGTAAATTTTATAATAATATACTATTATGCTTTACATAATACTATATTATGTAAAGCAGCTTGAAATGCCTTGATGCTGAAATGTGCTATACAAATAAAATTTGATTGATTGATTGATAGTAAGGATGCATCGTCCATATGGTAGATGTCCAGATTTTTCACTTGATAACCCTTAAAAGACGTGTTTATTTGATCTAACAATTAAATAAACAGCTTTCATGAACAAAATGTGGAATTTTTTTTTACAATATTAATGTAGAAAATAGAGCTGCAACTAACAATTATTTTAGTTATCAATTATTCTAGCATTTAATCAGATTAAAAAGATTGGCACATTGTGCAGATTTTTAATTTAAGCTATGTTATACAATATTAGGAATACATTAAAGATGCTAATAAAAAAACTCAATTCCTTTTTTTAAGCTAGTAAAACATGTTTTTGCCTAAAATGCAATAACACAGCATTCCTTCAGTGAAAGCCTGATCCTCTGCAGCTAAAAAATGCTTGTGACATCAGTATGTGATGAGCTCCGACCTTTCTGCTCGACTTAACAGCAAATCAGTGCAGGGCTGATTTGTTGATTATTTTTGGATTAATCAATTTATAACTGGATATATATATATATATATATATATATATAT